GTGTGTGTGTGTGTGTGTGTGTGTGTGTGTGTGTGTGTGTGTGTGTGTGTGTGTGTGTGTGTGTGTGTGTGTGTGTGTGTGTGTGTGTGTGTGTGTGTGTGTGTGTGTGTGTGTGTGTGTGTGTGTGTGTGTGTGTGTGTGTGTGTGTGTGTGTGTGTGTGTGTGTGTGTGTGTGTGTGTGTGTGTGTGTGTGTGTGTGTGTGTGTGTGTGTGTGTGTGTGTGTGTGTGTGTGTGTGTGTGTGTGTGTGTGTGTGTGTTGCTTCTTACTGCCAGCGACTAAATTCAGTCGACTGTGTCACACTTTATTACTCCGCAACTCCTTGACAAGGGCTTGACAGAATCCCTCATACTTGCATAGATTCTTACAACAGGACATGAAATTGTGCACGTTTTATTTTGACTATTAGGCTGTGTTTTAGTTTTGGAAATAAGAAACTCGCTCAAATGAATAAAACAACATAACACGTGCACAACTTCGTGTCCTGTCTAACCACTACTGCTTAATCGTGCAGTTTGTTAGTCATAAACTCTTTGAAAACGACAGACGTTCACCAAACTTGAACAGATTCTTCTACAGGACATGAAGTTGTGCAAGTTTTATTTTATTTTTTCACGCAGTGATATTTTGAGTTTGCCATACCCAAAACATGAACTTTGCCATTTCAGTTTGTATATAAAGCAATGCCAATACACATTTATTAGATATAAAAATAAAAGATGTGGCATGATTCCCAATGAGACAACTCTCCACAAGAGACCAAATGACATAGAAGTTAACAACTATAGGTCACCGTACGGCCTTCAACAATGAGCAAAACACATAACGCATAGTAAGCAATAAAAGGCCCCGAAATGACAAATGTAAAATAATTCAAACGAGAAAACTAACGGCCTCATTTATGTACAAAACAATGAAAGAAAAAACAAATATGATTTTGATTTGATTTTAAACATATTTTATTCATTAAGATATTGAGCAACAGACACAGCCGATAAAGGCTCTCTCCATATTACATGTACAAGGTATAAATCAAATATTAACAACTATATTTAAAATAATATAACTATATTGGAAAATACATGCTATTTATGAGCATACACAAACAAATTCTGTAACATATTTACAGTGTTAATTACTAAATGTATATTATATAGAGTGTATAGGCAATTTATCATCATGTATTCAAGTACAGTACCTCGAGACATGTCAATATCATTTATAAGTCATCAGAAATATATATTTAAGGTTTGGAAGAGCCACTAATCTTGCATAGTGAAATAAATGAAATAATGTTTGAAAAAAAGAAGGTAAAAAAACGCCTAAAAAATCAAACAAAACGATGAGTGTCACTTATATATTTCTGAAAAGATTTAAAAATATTTGTATCATACGTAAATAATTTATTTCAAAAAATTATTAAGTCAATATTTATGTCAACATTATTATCAACAATTAAGTAAATGGAATCAAGTAAGGTCTGTCTTACATCATTGTACTTCGGGCAAATAAAAAAGAAATGGTGGTTATCCTTACCAATATGATTACAGTATGAACAAATTAAATAGTGTTCTCTGGTAAACATTGATAAAACATATGATTTTTTAAGTTGCTAGCATTAATTCTAGGTTGACCATGACTGATATTATATTTCTTACTCCCATAATTGAAAGATTTGAATAATAAATCAGTCCTATAAAGTTGTCTATATAAAAATAAGAAGATGTGGTATGTTTTCCAATGAGACATCTCTCCACCAAAGACCAAATGAAATAGAAGTTAACAACTATAGGTAACCGTATGGCCTTCAATAATGAGCGAAACACATACCGCATAGTCAGCTATAAAAGGCCCCGAAATGACAATTTTAAAACAATTCAAACGAGAAAACTAACGGTCTGATTTATGTACAAAACAAAGAATGAAAAACAAATATGATAAACAGCAACAAACGACAACCACGGAAATACAGGCTCCTGACTTGGGACAGGCAAATACAAAATGTGGCGGAGTTAAACAGTTTGATGGCGACAAACCATTCCCTAACCTGGGATAGTGGTGTCATTAAGGTACAGTATTCGACAGTCGATTGATTCGACAACAGTTGCGTGTTCCTGCATCTTCTAATTCAATTCAGTTTGAAAGAATGTATTGAATAGACAACTTAACGATCGATTAATTCAAAAAATCTTTAACGAACGACACGTTTGGTAACGATTGAATGACATGTGTTGAATCAATCAACTCAAATGACTGAGATCGTTTGTTGAATCAATCAACTCAATTTGTTTATGATGAAGACTCAATCGTAACGATAGATACAATCGATAATGATTGAACAACATTTGTCGAATCAATCAACTCGATTTGTTTAAGACGAAGTCTCAATTATAGTAACTATCGATAACGATTGAACATCATTTGTCGAACCCACCATTACAGTTTGTAAATGACCACTGCTCGATCGTAACTATCGATACGATCGATAACGAGTGAACATCGTTGGCTGTGTCAATGTACCTTCTAGCGCCGTAGGCTGTGTCAATGTGCCCACTTGCGTCGTAGGTTGTGTCAATATGCCGCCTAGCGCCGTAGGCTGTGTTCCTTGTGTTAAGGTTAGGTTAGGGTTATAGTTAGATTTAGAATTAGAGTTAGGGCTAGGGTAAAGCTCTATTAGATATGCTATCTAGCACCGTAGGCTTTGACAATGAGCCTTATTGCTCCGTAGGATGTGTCTATAGCCGCCTAACACCTTAGACTGTGTCCTTGGGTTCGAATTAGGTAAGGGTTAGGGTAAGGGTCGGGCTGTATCAAATATGCCACCAAGCGACGTAGGCTCTGTCGATGTGCCATCTAGCGCCGTAGGCTGTATCAATGTGCCTTCTAGCACCGTAGGCTGTGTCAATAGGCCTTCTTGTGCCGTAGGCTGTGTCAATGTGCCATCTAGGGTCGTATCCATGCATGTGTTAGAGTTATGTTAGGGTAAGAATTAGAGTTAGGGTTAGAATTAGAGTTAGGGTAAGGCTGTTTAAAATATGCCATCTGTCGCCGTAGGTTGTGTTCTTGGTTTCTTTTCGTGCAGTTGTATTACACAAAACAGAATTGCCTCAGTTGATTAATCTTATACCATCGTTTATAATATACAGTTGATTTGAAAGAAGTATTTTAATTTAATACAAAAATTGATTGAATCGACAAAATGATACGATTACAGTTGACATGGTATTGATACTATAAAAAAAATTGTCGAATCAATCGATTATCGAATACTGTACAATACTCAGTGGTGTAACAGTGCAGCATAATAACAATCTATAAAAATCAGCTGAAAAGGGCTTAACTCATCAGATCGATTCAAGTAAGGGCTAGTTATGGCAAATATGATATACAGCAACAAACGACAACTACTGAATTACAGGCTCCTTAACTTGGGACAGGCACATACCCCTATTGGCCTAACTTAGAAAAGTGGTGTAACGGCACGACACAAGAACAAAATATGCAAAACAATAATCGAAAAACAAATATGAGAAACAGCAAAAAAACGGACAACCATCAATTACAGGCTGCTGACTTTGGACAGGCACATATAGAATGTGGCGGGGTTAAACATGTTTTCTGGAGCCAAACCTTCCCCTTAACCTGGGACAGTGGTGTAACAGTACGACATAAGAAATAACTATAAAAATCAGTTGAAATGGGCTTAACTCATTTGATCGATACAAAACACATAAATACACAAACAAAAACACAAAAGACACAAAGTATACAGATCTAAGAGTTATCGCAGTTAACTGAAAGCAAGTTCAAAGCCAAAAACAACCAATAAAAAATCAGCATGTGTCTAGGATCAATAGAACATCTTGAATTTCCTCTAAAGAAAGACATGAAGCTAAATCTAGCAACGCAAGATGCCTTTAGCTGGCTTCTATGGTAAACTGGAAAAAAATCTCCTCTTAAACCACCGCATGCTAACTAAGGTCGTCACGATTTCATCTGAATCATGATTCTTTGTGGTGTCATTTGAAGGGTGTGCTTTTTGCAATCACAAACTTGACCAAAAAATGACCGACGGTGTTGGCGTTACTGGACAAACTGTATGTAACGGCTTGTTGCTCGGTAAAAGGACACAGTGGGTCAAAGATAAAAGGCCCGGGTTTAGAACCCAAGGGGCAAAATGCCCGGCTATCTCTTTTTAAGAATGTAAATCTAAATAGAACAATTCAACTGTTTTGAAACTAACTCGATTATATCTGTGATCCATGCATGTTAAAAGATTTTTCTTTCACTTCGATCCGGCCCATATCTAAAGTCGATTCGGTCCCTAGATGAAAAACTACTAACTTAAAAGGAATAAAAGTGATATATAATAATTGACTTGTAGAAAATAAAGATTAATTAACTTCATGAATAATAGCAAAGGTGGACAATAAAAAATTGTATCTTTGACGCATATTGAAACATAGTATTTTTATAATTTGAGATATTTGTTTGAGCATTTATTTTTTTAAGATTTCTAAATTGAATTTTTACTATGACACATCATCAGTATCAAAATATATTATTTTTAAAATGCATATTTACATTTATAATTTTATCACCTTTAATAAGTAAGGAATGATTATGTAGTATATATCAAAGTTTTTATGTTGATTACCCTGAATCAAATTCTTCACAAAAATATCCAACTTTGATAGTAAATATTTATTAATTCAACATGTTCAATATGAGGCCGGAACGACCAAAAAAGTTCTATGTCTAGAGCTTCCCGTCATGATTTTGCCCTATTGATATAATTTATTGCTAATTTACCTTATATCATATTATTTTTTATATATTAAAACAACATACAAAAAAATGACTTGAAGATGTATTGAAATTGATATGTCAATTTTACACATTTTGGTATTTTGCAACTTCCGTGTTTTAGACCCTTCCAAATTGGTTCGGGATTAAGGATACTAATTTTAAGTATTTTTTTTTAGAGTAACATCCCTTTGTACACAGAAGAAATTTTTACATTTAATAATTTTATTCTTTTTAAAATAAACCTGATGGTCAACTGATGATGAACAGGTATTTTTCGAAATTGAAGCATGTTCTCTTTCTTTTTACACCGTTTAGTTTTCTCTCAAATAAGACATTCAACAACTTTATGCGTTATTTTAAAACACAGTCTAAACAGTTTAAAAATAAATTCATCTTTACTTTACGTTTCGGCAATAAATGGTCGTATTTACACCACAAAATTCACTCTGAATACACAAACTTGTGCATGGTAAAGTTTTAAAGCATTGCAGGACCTAACTTGATGAAATTCGTGTGCATTTTATGTTTCATAAAATTAAAAAGTTGACTGGAATTTGCTTTGCATTTTTTGTTCGTTCCTTGAGGAGTTATTGCACCAAATTACTATTTTTGACTAGCTTATTTTCATGTGTAAGCAGTTTATCTAGGAAACTGTAATAGTTAAAATTATCAGCAATACAAGATATTACAAAAATGCCAATAGACGTTATGTCTATTTGGGAATCTGTGACGTTTGACCCAAGAAACTCTGAAGCTTGAATGTTGACATCCTACAACAATCACCGGTACCTCGAATGACCGAATAACACCGTTATTAGCCAAATAACACTTGTAATCACAGAATAACACTTGAAATTTTAATATTAGCACATATTGGTGACATTTAAACATTGATTATTAAATAATATTGTATTATAAGTGTATTTTATAACTTAAAATGATTTATAGAAAGCAGGTAAGTTCATAAAGATCATTATAAATATTAGTGTGTACATCCAACATGGCGACCAAGGAAAACACAATGGGAAGAATAAAAGAATGATTGCATATGCATTCAAAGGGAAAAGCTATGAAAATAAAGTATTAAATAATGTACTGTATATACAGAGTATTGTCCAAGAATTGTTTTTCAGTAAGGTTTCGAAAAGTTAACAAGTACATCAAAGCCATGCAATTACTCCAATCCCCAATTAGTTTTCTTAACGATTTCCTCAATATTGAATGAAACGTAATTAAGAATTTTCACATATTTAATTTAAATTTAATCAAAAAATTAATTATACTTGATTGTTTTATAATAAAAACAAAGCAGCTGAATGGATGATTCGTTTGAGTGTATTTTCTCAAAAAGAAATTAAAGATTTTCATTGGCAAATATTAATGTTTTTACAAGTAACTAAAATTTGGTATAAAAACATGTGAAGACATATGTGCTGTCTTCCATTTTTAAAATGGCTTTATATCCTTGTGTTCAATGTGATGAAGAATGTGTTGATTGCACAATTCAGTGCAGTAGTTGTGATCGTTGGGTTCACAGTGCTTGTGTCCCAATCTGTATCGAGATAAATTCTGCCAATGTACATGTAGGCACACCTCCAATGGAGTTGAATATATATAATATCCTTCACCACACAATATAATAATACGCAATGAATGTCTAATCCAATTATGAATACTTAGTACTTATGAATATATCTATTTTGACAAATATCAGATATAACTTTAACTTCTTTTTCAACATTTTCCAAATGTTTATGATCAAACTTTGTATTGACAGACTTTTTAGCTAGTTCTCCAAAATGTATATGCTTGAATATTGTGTCCATTTTTGCCCCAACTGTTCAGGGTTGGACCTCTGCGGTCGTATCCAGATGTGCTCGGCGAAGCACATTTTTGTTTATGTACAACAATTAATATTGTTAGACTAGTGATATATAATAACAAATGCACACTTATGTTCTCTTATAATTCAATTTTTCTTAAATCTTGGTGTATATATATATATATATATATATATACATACTTCCAATTGTCATGAATGTGCATTTTTTTAGTGAAGTTAAATAGTCTTGTGTAGTGCAAACCAAAATGAGTGTTAATATAACATTTAATATTCCATTTATAAATATTTTCAATGAGATTACTATTAAGAAGTCAAGAATCAAAATTCTGCTTATACCAGTTTGTTAATCCAAAAAGATGATAGAATTCCCAAAAACTTGCACAGATCCTTCAACAGGACATGAAGATTTTTTTATCTGAGTAATCTGGCTGAAATCCATGATTTGGAATGGAAAACCACTATGTGCAGTATTGTACTTCCATAGTTTCTGCTTATATTTTTTGGTGAAGTCTGATGGCAGCTACACATATCTTCCTTAACGTTTTAATCAAGTGGCATGAATATCTCTTTCAGTACTTAATTTTTTGTACTTGAAAATAGAGCTTTCAGCAACTGCTTTGAACAAAACATACATGTAATCTTGTAAACTAAAGGGATGATTTAGAAAATGTAAATTAATAATTTCTATGTATTGATCAACACAATAAACTACATTTTGTGATCAAGTAAAATTAGCTGGCAAAAAAATCACAAAATCAACCATCAATAAATATATGTCATTTACAGGGAAACAACTGGAGAAGATAAAGTGACTGTAAACATAGGTGAAGTGGATCCTAAAAATGAGAAAGAGGCAAATGGTTATGAAAATGATGGTCAGAATGAGGCTACAGAAGAAGATGGTGACATATTTATAGTGATGGGTAAAGATGTAGATCAAGATTTAGAAGGACCAGTCCCAACAGACAAATTTATACACCATGATGAAGATGATCCAGCATATTTTGACTATCCTAAGACAAAAATTGGGTTTGTAATTTATATGATGATTATAGTACAAAAATGTACATTTTGCTTAAAACAGTATATATTGTTGGATACAATAAACATTTTTACTTTTGTCATTATGGTCATGTTTATTAAAGTAAATTTTGTAGGCAGTTGTAAGTAAAACTCTCCAAAGTATTTCTTCTTGTATAGGTAAATTATTTCAACTTTATGGTAAATATTTTTATTTCATTTTTAAAAGATTCGTTCCTATGTCACCAGTCTAAATCCAGATATATAGCCATTTTCCATTTCACATTTCAGTTTACAAAAATAAAGTGTATATATACTTGTTTATATTTTTTCATATGGGCTTGTATTATATTTGCCTTCGGGTTTAGGTTTTTTAACAGAGTTCCCTTGCATCATGTGTTTTAAATCTGTTTGACTTTTGTGACTGTTGTCAATAAAGGTCAAGGAAGAATAAATGGGCTATGTCACAGATTTTGGTAAAACTTTGGCTCGTTGAACTTTAACTGAAAATCAAAAATATGATGCATTTATCTCTTTTATTTTATGAAATATTACTGATTGAATTCTTTCAAAACAAGTGAACATTGCAAAGAAAGCACATAAAATCGCTGAGAAGGGTTCTAACATTTGTCTTAAAATTATCATCTCCAATTTCAAATCCATAGAATTTCTTAAAAAACTATATGTTGACTAATTAAACAAATGTTTTTCGGTGATTTTATGCGTTTTCTATTCAAATGAAATTGTTTTGACAGAATTTAATCAGTTATAATTCAGAAAATAAAAGAGATCAACAGTCAGGGGACTTACTTAAATGAGTGATTTTCTAAATCACTGATTCAAGTAACATTATGTCCATAAAGGTTGGAAGTAAGAGTTGTCTTTCTTTAATAATCACCTATTTAAGTAGTTCAAATTAATCACTAGACTAAGTGATTTAATTTTATTGTAGCTTTAAATATAGAATACTAATGATCCAGGGACTTATGTTTTATGTTGCTAAAATTATCAGAACCAACATCTGTGTTGATAGGATGACAGGGTCATGTCAGGTGATGACCTTGTACTAAATCTAGGATAATGACATAAAAATCACTTGTTTAAGTATCATACCTCAATTTCGTTCCAAAAAATCAGTTCTTTAAGTATCATTATTTTAATAACCCCCACTAATTTCAACTACCCCGAACAGTGAAATTTTGATCGCGAGCAGAAGAATTTTATTACATAATCTATAAGATGAAACCTTGAATTTTACAGGAAAAATACTCCCACTGCTGGGAAAAATCTGTTAAGAAAGTATCAGTTCATTATGTAAAGCCATTTTTATAGCATTTTTTCAACTAAAATAGAATTTGCAGCTAAATGATTGCATCATAGGCATAAACCTTGCTGGTTAGAAGAAGCAAAAAGTTCATTTTTCAATTTTACTAATGAAAAGATATTATCTAAACCTATGTGTTTAAAATTTTGGTAAAACTACAAAATCACAATTTGTGACAAAATTTCAAATTTGCTACTTAAATAAGTGATTTAATAATCACTTATTTCAATAAGCATGATAAGTCCCCTGACTGATCAATGAATTTGTTTTCGATTTTCAATTAAAAGTCAACGAGTCAAAGTAGTATGCAAAGTTTTACTGAAGCCAGTGACATAGCCCATTTTCTGTAACTTGACCTTAAGTGGTTGCATTTTGTTATGTACTGGCATGACTGTATATATATTTAGAATATATTATTTTTAATGAACATATTATTCATATATTTTCTGCATACATGTAATGTAGTTTTCTTTAAGATATAAAGCACTTCCCATTCTGATGAAAGATTATGTTTTGGGGTTTATTGTTATGCAGGAAGTAAGAATTTATACCAACTTGGAAAATAGAGAAATGTGTCAAACACAATTTTAAAAGAAATCTCCGATCAAATTGTTACATGTATATGTTTTTTGTTGCAAGAGAATTCTCAAATTTATGAGCCCCATTGATGTTGTTCAATTTATAAAGTTTCTTTGTTAACATACCATTATCTTATTGATTTATCTTTCTTTATGTTTAAATGCTTCTTTGGTGATCTTTTTCAGGAGATTGAGGTTTAGGATAGGATCTGTGATGGAGAATGTATGGTTTCGTTTGTTTACTATTATGTTGATTATAGCAGACTTCATCATTGTTATTGTGGATATGGCATCAGGTCCCAAGACACATTTCCATGACGAACTAGAAATTACATCTAGATGTATTATAACTTATTTTGTGATAGAAATTTTCTTGAGGATATTTTATAAAGGGTAAGATACCTGTATTTGTGTATTGTAGATCTGTACATGAACATGAATCCCACAACTGTCCAGGAGAGTTCAAATGTTGTGGATTTAAGTAATTGTTGGTCCTCAACCATAAATGAAACCCATTCTGAATAGCTAGCTACAAAATAGACAAAATGTGATACAATTCAAACAAAAAATCTTATAGACGGATTTCTGACAAAAACAGTAAACAAAAACCAGATATAACAGACAGCAACCAACGACAACCACTGAAAACAGACTTAGGACATGCACATACAGAATGTAGCATGGTTAAATATGTTTGTGAGTGCTCAACCCTTCCCCTAATGTAGGACAATGGTGTAATAGACATAGCAGAACATAAGAACAAACTGTAAAAATCAATAGATATATACCAAGCATAAAAAACGTAATATAAAGAAAAAAGATACAAAGTATCATTCTAAGAGTACTCTCAGTTACTGAAAGCTAGTTTTAAAAGTGTAAATAAAAAATATGAAGTCTTATCTATAAGTACACATTAAAATTAATGGTTTATAAAACCTAATTTGCTAAGGTAACACTCATTGTAAAAAACCCAAATTCCAGTACCCATAGTTCAAACCTTTATACATGAACGAAAATGAAATTAAATGTTTGTGTTTGTAGAAAGAGATTTTTCCACTCCTGGGCAGATGTACTCGATATGATTATTGTACTTGTTACCTTTATAATTGATTGGGCCCTCAGTGACTACGGCAGGTAAGTTATGATTATTGTACTTGTTACCTTTATAATTGATTGGGCACTCAGTGACTACAGCAGGTAAGATATGATTATTGTACTTGTTACCTTTATAATTGATTGGGTACTCAGTGACTACAGCAGGTAAGATATGATTATTGTACTTGTTACCTTTATAATTGATTGGGCACTCAGTGACTATGGCAGGTAAGTTATGATTATTGTACTTGTTACCTTTATAATTGATTGGGCCTACAGTGAATACAGCAGGTAAGATATGATTATTGTACTTGTTACCTTTATAATTGATTGGGCCCTCAGTGACTACGGCAGGTAAGATATGATTATTGTACTTGTTACCTTTATAATTGATTGGGCCCTCAGTGACTACAGCGGGTAAGATATGATTATTGTACTTATTACCTTTGTAATTGATTGGGCCCTCAGTGACTAGGGCAGGTAAGATATGATTATTGTACTTGTTACCTTTATAATTGATTGGGCACTCAGTGACTACGGCAGGTAAGTTATGATTATTGTACTTGTTACCTTTATAATTGATTGGGCACTCAGTGACAACAGCAGGTAAGTTATGATTATTGTACTTGTTACCTTTATAATTGATTGGGCACTCAGTGACTACAGCACGTAAGTTATGATTATTGTACTTGTTACCTTTATAATTGATTGGGCACTCAGTGACAACAGCAGGTAAGTTATGATTATTGTACTTGTTACCTTTATAATTGATTGGGCCCTCAGTGACTACGGCAGGTAAGTTATGATTATTGTACTTGTTACCTTTATAATTGATTGGGCCCTCAGTGACTACAGCGGGTAAGATATGATTATTGTACTTGTTACCTTTATAATTGATTGGGCACTCAGTGACTACGGCAGGTAAGATATAATTATTGTACTTGTTACCTTTATAATTGATTGGGCACTCAGTGACTACGGCAGGTAAGATATAATTATTGTACTTGTTACCTTTATAATTGATTGGGCACTCAGCGACTACAGCAGGTAAGATATGATTATTGTACTTGTTACCTTTATAATTGATTGGGCACTCAGTGACTACGGCAGGTAAGTTATGATTATTGTACTTGTTACCTTTATAATTGATTGGGCACTCAGTGACTACGGCAGGTAAGATATGATTATTGTACTTGTTACCTTTATAATTGATTGGGCCCTCAGTGACTACAGCAGGTAAGTTATGATTATTGTACTTGTTACCTTTATAATTGATTGGGCACTCAGTGACTACGGCAGGTAAGTTATGATTATTGTACTTGTTACCTTTATAATTGATTGGGCACTCAGTGACTACGGCAGGTAAGATATGATTATTGTACTTGTTACCTTTATAATTGATTGGGCCCTCAGTGACTACAGCAGGTAAGTTATGATTATTGTACTTGTTATCTTTATAATTGATTGGGCACTCAGTGACTAGGGCAGGTAAGATATGATTATTGTACTTGTTACCTTTATAATTAATTGGGCACTCAGTGACTACGGCAGGTAAGATATATGATTATTGTACTTATAATTGATTGGGCACTCAATGACTACGGCAGGTAAGATATATGATTATTGTACTTATAATTGATTGGGCACTCAATGACTACAGCAGGTAAGATATATGATTATTGTACTTATAATTGATTGGGCACTCAGTGACTTCAGCAGGTAAGATATGATTTTTGTACTTGTTACCTTTATAATTGATTGGGCACTCAGTGACTACGGCAGTTAAGATATGATTATTGTACTTGTTACCTTTATAATTGATTGGGCACTCAGTGACTACGGCAGTTAAGATATGATTATTGTACTTGTTACCTTTATAATTGATTGGGCACTCAGTGACTACCGCAGATAAGTAATATTGGTTAATGCATGGTGAAATACATTTTGTCAATGGCAGCACATGTTAAGTACACAAGGTATTATCACCACACTAAGTGACTGCATTGAGTAAAATCACAACACTAAGAGACTACGTTGAGTAAAATCACAGCCCTAAGTGACTACATTGAGTGAAATCACAACACTAAGAGACTACGTTGAGTAAAATCACAACCCTAAGTGACTACATTGAGTGAAATCGCAACACTAAGAGACTACGTTGAGTAAAATCACAACACTAAGTGACTACATTGAGTAAAATCACCACACTAAGTGACTACATTGAGTACAATCACCACACTAAGTGACTACATTGAGTAAAATCACCACACTAAGTGACTTCATTGAGTAAAATGACCACATTAAAATGAAGGTAGATAAAAAACCATTAGTCCTAAAAAAATAAAGACTACACCATAGCCATAATAAAATGACAAGGTAAGATAACTGCACTATTACATGGAACACTCAAACTGAGGTTGAGTTGTCATATATGAAATATGAGAAAATTTGCGTTTCAGTAACGAAATATACATGTAGTTTAGTAGTGATATCATTTATGTTTTATGTATTACAAAGAGTTAATATTTTATTTATTTATTTTTAAATTTTAAAACACCATCTTGTATGGAGGATAGTTATTTATTTATTTGTTGTCCATGTTATAGGTCTTAAAAATTACTGTATGATTAATACTACATATATATGTATATGCTTGGAAACAGATCTTTTAATTGGATTTATTAAAGTATTCATAATTTCATATTTGTTTATGAACTATCTTTTTTTTGTTCTGTAATTACAAACGTGTGTAGTTCATTTTAGTTTGGGGTAAGAGAACTGAAAATAAGTGGAATCTTTTCCTTTTAAACTAACTGTCTTGTTTATTTGTATTATAATTATCACCATGCTTTTGCACTGAATCTTTAATCCTTAGCAATTTGTTTATGTTGATTTTTTATGAAAGTATCAGATAAATCTTGTATTAACTATCTAAAGAATATACAACTATAAAGCTTAAGTAATGTGGCATCCAATATCTTCATTTTACCAATTTCACAAGAAGATAAATATGTGTTTAGTAGTAATTGGGTTTTGAAATTTCTCATGCAATTTTGTAATTTAAAAAAAGTTTTAGCTATGTCATGATTGAAATTAGCCTTGGAGACATAAAAAAAATACACACAGCACTATATGTATGTATATATAGAATAAAAGAATTATAATTTATACAGCAATGAAGCATCAACCCAACCACACCAAAAACCAAAAAAAAAAACAATTAAAAGAACAACACTTGTTTTTCAACATTGAAACAATAGTTCTTCAGTAATGATTGTTAGTAATACATACCGGTACATAAACAATTCAAAAGTCTCTATTATTTTGTAGACTTGGTGTTGCTGGAAGATCAGTCAGAATTATACGTATTGTTAGAAGTATATACATCATGTATTCAGATTTTAGACGGTTTAAGAAAGTAACGAGACGAATTATATCACAAAACAAACGTAGATATGTTAAGGAAGGATTTGATCTAGATCTTTGTTATATAACAGGTAAATGATGTCTTTTGATTTTTTTTATTATTGGGTTGTTTTGCCATTGATCCACATAATTTTTATTTATATAAAAAATGTTAGGAACATGGATTCATCTAAATTTGTAATAATAATGGAAAATAAGGATCTATGATGAATCATTTATTATTTCATGACACAAAATCACTACATTCACATGAAAATACAATGGCAGAGGAACATTTCTATTATTGCTGTTATTCATCTTAATGTCACAGTGAGGCCTACAACACAGATCAGAAACTCTCACCTCACTGCAAGTTTAAGACTACTCAAGATGTTGTGCTTATTCAGTATAAGTACATTCACACTATATTTACCATCTGTGGATGAGTATACTTTTGTATATTCATACTGGTAGAAGAGAGGTGAAAGATACCAAGAGGAACATTCAATCTCATTAGTTAAATTGACAACGCCATGGCTAAAACAGAAAAAGGCCAACAGACAAACAATAGTACACTAAACACAACATAGAAAACTAAAGACTGAGCAACACAAACCCCACCAAAAACCAGGGGTGATGTCATGTACTCCGGAAGAATAAGCAGATCCTGCTCCACATGTGGCACCCATCCTGTTGCTCATGTTGGTACAAACCCGGTAATAAATCTAATTCGGTAGGTCTCAATCAGGGAAAAAGGGACAGGATTGTAGTTACAACATTTGGAACATATCTGCTGTCATCTGTGAAAGGATATTCCATAACGGTCAACCAACTTGTGATGGCACCTGTTAAATTTACGAAGGTATGATTTCAACTTCACCACTTATAACTCTTAGTTTAATAGCTTCCTTGTGAGCAGTAACCCTCTATCCAGGAAATCATGATAGGAAATACAAGCCCTGGAATATCGTAACAACTGGGAGATATATACTCTGTATGCAGGCTCTACTGGAATATTGCTACATAGAAATGGAAAGTTCACAATTGGGAAGCTGAAATCATCTCTTTTGTCGTTAAGTTTTTTTTTCAACCTACCCTCATTGTCAGTTTCTAGATGTAAGTCAAAACATGAGGCAGACTTAACTGGTAGATATGCTCTTAACATAAAGACAGCAAAATGCATGTATGACCAAAGTTGTTTTTGTGTATCCATTGTTGAATATAGCATCTGTCTCTGAATTTTGGGCGTCTGGCATATAAAATTTTAATCCTGTTATCTATGATGAGTTTATTTCTAAACTTGCCTGAAGTACTTTACTATATCTATATTAAAGCTAATATAAATACTATATACTGTATACTGGTACTAAGAATACAGGAGAGATGTATAATATTTTATATGACAATTTCCATTCTGCTATATTAAGTTCATATTTTCATACTTCATATTTTTAATTTATTCTTATTTGAGTAAAACTTAGATGATGATCAAATTTAATTTGTAATATTTAGCATGTTAAGGGGGTACTTTGATTAAAATTTAATAGGGGTTGTATTTTGTGACAAGTTTGACAGTGGTATAGAATATAAGAAGATGATATTGTTTTTGGATAGGGTAATAAGAGTATCTCAAGACCCCACCTCCACACCCATTAATTCTGGATCCCGGAACAGCCCTAATAATAAACTGATAGATTGCAAAATTTTTTTTTCTATAAAAATACTATGACAAAAAGTAATATTGTGTAAATACTTTTTGACTTTACAGAGAGAGTTATAGCAATGTCATTTCCATCTTCTGGTGTTAGAGCTTTGTACAGAAATCCCATTGGGGTAAGGTACCAGTATAAACTAGTGATGATCTTTGAAATAGCCAGAAATTATTTTATGAATGCATAAACAGCTTGAATTTCTTTACTAATTGAATCATAATCAATTATTTTCAGAATATTAATGCATATTATGAAACCATTTGAAAAAAAAATTATATGAAAATTATTTTAATGTTAACAGCAATTTATTCTTCATTCCAAGCTATGTGTCACCAGGTAGACTCAATGTGTGACAATAATCTATTTAACTAGGTCAAACTTAAAATGCAATATAATTATTTCCTAATATTTTAGACATTAAATTGCAAGACAAAAAACTTGAAAAAAATCATTTACATATGTATCCTGCAAAGGAAGACAGTCATTAAGGATTTCATTTGACCCCAAAATTTTTATTAGAATAGTGTGACCCTTTTTGATGTTTTGAGACCCCTTTTTGTTGTCAGGAGGTTATGGGTCACAGAAAATTATAAAAATGCATGTTATTTTTTAACAATCTGTTCAGTGGCATTTTTGTCGAGCCTGCGACTTTTGTCGCAGAAAGCTCGACATAGGGATAGTGATCTGGCGGCGGCTGCGGCTTTAGCTAACTTCTTAAAAGCTTTATATTTTAGAAGCTAGAAGACCTGGATGCTTCATACTTTGTATATAGATGCCTTATGTTAAGAAGTTTCCGTCTGTTATATGTCCATTGTCCTTGACCTCATTTTCATGGTTCAGTGACTACTTGGAAAAAAAGTCAACATTTCTTGTAATGTTAATTTCTTTGTTATGAGTAATAGGATAACTATATTTAGTATGTGCGTACCTTGCAAGGTCCTCATGCCCGTCAGACAGTTTTCACTTGACCTCGACCTCATTTCAAGGATCAGTGAAAAAGGTTAAGCTTTCGTGGTCAAGTCCATATATCAGATACTATAAGCAGTAGGTCTACTATATTAGGTATATGGAATGATTGTAAGGTGTACATGTCCAACTGGTAGGTGTCATCTAACCTTGACCTCATTTTCATGGTTCAGTGGTCAAAGTTAAGTTTTTGAGTTTTGGTCTTTTTTTCTAATACTATATGCAATAGGTCAACTATAAATGGTGTATGGAAATATTTTATGATGTACATGTCAGTCTCACAGGTTTTATTTGACCTTGATCTCATTTTCACGGTTCATTTCTCAGTGTTAAGTTTTTGTGTTTTGGTCTGTTTTTCTTCAACTATAAGCAATAGATCAACTATATTTGATGTATGGAAGGATTGTAAGGTGTATATGTCTGTCTGGCAGGTATCATCTGACCTTGACCTCATTTTCATGGTTCATTGGTCAATGTTAAGTTTTCATGGTTAAGTTTGTTTCTTAGATACTTTAAGCAATAGGTCAACTATATTTAATGCCTAAATTGATTGTAAGGTGTACATGTCTGTCTGGCATGGTTCATCTGACCTTGACCTCATTTTCATGGTTCATTGGTCAAAGTTAAGTTTTTGAGTTTTGGTCTTTTTTTCTAATACTATATGCAATAGGTCAACTATAAATGGTGTATGGAAATATTTTATGATGTACATGTCAGTCTCACAGGTTTTATTTGACCTTGACCTCATTTTCATGGTTCATTGGTCAAAGTTAAGTTTTCTTATTTAAGACTGTCTTCTTCTTCCAGGTAAGGAACCGGATTCAAAATTGAATGTTATTGGTTCCGCGCGAAAACTTTACGCAGTGTCGGGCAACACAGAAAGTTCTCTCTTGGCTATTTACAAATTACATTTAAAACGTTCGCAATATTATACAATTAAAATTATGTACAACTGGTGTTTCCTACTTCCTTTCAGAGCATGCCTTAAGGGCAGCTCTGAATCCCTCAACGGTGTTGTCCGATGAAACTGATGTTGGTAAGTTGTTCCAATCCCTGATGGTCCTCGGGAAGAAAGATTGGCCGTTACTAAGGCGTCTGTACTTGTTCTTTCTTGGTAGAAGCGGTTTTTACCTCTGGTCCGGTTATCATTTGGGGTTAAATATTGGTGACGGTCTATGTCTATAAGATCATGCTGGATCTTGAATAGCATGCATAGCCTGTTTGTTTACCTCCTTTTTTTCTAAGCTTTCCCATTTTAGATTTTTGACCATATTTGTGACACAGCCAGGTGTTCGGTCTGTGTAGTTGTTATTCACAAATCGTGCTGCTCTTTTCTGTTCCTGTTCAATTGCCTTGATTTTATTTTGGGTTGTTGGGTCCCATACTGTGCATGCATATTCCACTGCAGGTCTTACCATGGATACATATGCAGCTGCCTTTACAGGTTTTGTACAGCCTTTGAGATTTCTACGTATAAATCCCAATGTTCTATTACCTTTGCCTACTGTATTGTCTATGTGTTTGTCCCAGGTTAGGTTGTTGCTGATGGTTACTCCAAGATATTTGCTCGCTTCCACTGTGTCTAGAGTATGACCGTGTAGTTGGTATGATGTTTGTATCACTGGTCGATTTTTTGGTGATATTCTAATGACAATGCATTTTAGGCATTGAAACTCATCTGCCATTTGTTTTCCCAGTCTTCCAATGCTGATAAGTCTTTAAAGAAACAATAAGCAATAGGTCAACTATATTTGGTTTATTTAATGATTGTAAGGTGTACATGTATTTCTCGTTTGGTTTATCTGACCTTGACCTCATTTTCTTGGATCATGTTAAGTTTATGTGTTACTTGTAGTAAAGCTTTGTATTTAGGACTATCAACATAAAATCAATGGTTAGTAAAGAAGGCGAGACATTTCAGCGTGTGCACTCTTGTTTAATGGAAGTATGGTTTCCAAAAAAATACATTTTCTGTCGATATGGAGTTTGGCTCCATGCATATATTGTGGAGTAGAAATTATGTAAATTTTAATGGTGTAAATAATTCTATCATTTTTATGCTGATATTCAAGTTCTGAAGGTCACAGTGACCTTTATACATAAAGAATTAAACAGATAAGGAAAGACCATTTATAATGCTAGAAATATGTGTCTTTATCTTATTAAAATCTACACAAAAATAGTCTTGAAAATTATGAGGCCAATTTATTTTGATTGAAGAAGGAGAAGTATTTTTAACTTATGAAAGTAAACTCATGTCAAAGCAGGATTTTAGAAATACTATTTACATATGTGCCTTAAGGAACTCAGAATTACATTCTATCATTGTGTATGGTCATATGTCTTACTTTGAACTCAGAGCATCCAATTTACATATTGGTGTAATGTAAGACAAGTTCCTTTGAAAGTACTTGACCTAAAAAATACCTTTGATGATATTCTGGTGGCCTGCCTGCCTCAAGTATAATAGGCATCTAATTCAATCCACTGCAGGGTCAGTCAAAGACTTAAAAATTTGTATTTACTGCTTTTCCACAAAGTACACAGCTTTTAGTTTAAAGATGATAGACTGATGAGCTCAAAGTCAAAATAATGGTCACAATTATTCCTACTAACTGTAATTTTGTGAGCTTCATGACAAAAATTTTACATCGCATATGAAATTTATTTATTGACATGAACATGTAACGTTATTATCCTCAAATATGCATGTAATATTTGTTGCTTCACGTTAAGCATCCATCATCATCGTAATCTTAAAGAAGTTGAAATAATAAAAGCTTGATATCCACCATCCATTTGCCAGTTTCAAAAAGGTGTTACTTACATATGTGCATGATAAAAAATTAACAGCATTAATAATAACAGCAATGCTTTGGTTATTTCAGTGGTATTTGTACCAGAAAGAACACATTGTTAGTGGTATTATATACTGTCAATTCATTATTTTTCATGGGATACCAATTTTTGGGGATTTCATGGGTATATCTCAACCATGTATTTATATATTCAATGAAATACAAATTTTATACAGGGTAGTGCTCAGACTTTGGCAAAACCATGAAATAAAATATCCATGACAATATAATTTACCTCCATCGCCGAATATTGGTATCAATGAAAATTAATTGAATCCACAGTATATCCTTTGTAAAGGCTGAATAAATCTTTTCAATTTCAGTCTGTAAACTATTATACTTAACATACTTTTGTCATATTCTAAAATATGATTGTACAGACCTGTAAAATGGACTGTAGTAGTAACCAAACAAACTTCCTTCACTATATAAAGGGACTGGGACGTTTAAAAAGCATGCATACCTATTGTGTCAAGTTCTTGTTTTAGATATATATGTATATTAACATGGAGGTAATCCACTGAAGAAGCATGTAAAGATTTGTAATGTCTGTTTCAGTGGTTGTATTGATTGACCTTTGCATGTAGATAGTATAATGCAGTTTTACCATGTTCAACAATATTGATCATTACTTTTGAATTTTTCATATAAACTTTAGGAGACAGAATATAATCAGTAACATGAAACTTGAAATCTGTTCTTCTCTTATGATTTGAATTATTCTGGTTTTATTATCTGTTGCATGAGAACAGGCATATATTTGTAATCAAATGACCTCTAGATGTCTGTTTGTTTGTGATATGGGGTTGCTGTCTTATCGATGTTTAACCCAGATCACCTTACATTTGTTTTTGAATGTTTTCAGGAATTTACAGGGTTCTGGTAGAATACAATATCATCACAATTTGTGATCTTATATTTTACTATCTTTATATTTCAAGATTCAAACAAATTCCAAGATACAACACTATGTATTGTCATTTATCAACAGTTAAAAATGATCTTTCAGACACTGAAAAATGTTAAGATGCAATAGAAGCAACCTGACCTGGTACAATAAATGTTTTTACATCAAGTTTGATCACGGTAGAGGCAGCACAGTAAATGTACCCAAGTTAAGAAAATTTACAAAGAGGGTTGTCTCCCTTTATAAATGAAATCCCATGAACAAAATATTTGCATTTGCTTGACAGGCAAGAATCAGCAAACTACAGGACTGTGGGTTAATTTATATCAGTGGAGCCCTATGTTAATTGACATTTATTACTCTTGGTACATTACATAATGTACATGTACTACATGTATTATAAATTTTTTTTTTTTTTTTTTTCAATATAAATCTGACAGATTCAAAGATTAGCAATTCATTTTGCTCTTATTTAGCCATTCTTTTGCTTAATAAATAATTAGTCCCCTACCGACGAAGTCGAGGGAGCTTTAGGTTTGCACTCCGTCCGTCTGTCTGTCTGTTCATCCGTCAGTCCGGCAAATCAGTTTTCCACACTTTTTTTCTTCATGCTTGAAGATATTGATTTGATATTTGGTGTATTGTTTTATTTCAAATTAATTTTTTAAGTAACAAAGAAATGTTATTTTCTGCCTACCAACCCATTCATTCATAAATAAGAATGTATATTGTGAATGCTATTGTTTTGTTTTTATTTAACCTACAATGAAATGCTATGACTTATGAAGTAAAGGATGTTACTTTATTGTAGAAAGTTGGGAAGTTTTTAGACACAAAACATCAAGATCACTACAGAGTGTATGATCTCTGCAGTAAGTATAATATATATTGATAACCATATAAAAATAAGAAGATGTGGTATGAGTGCCAATGAGACAACTCTCCATCCAAGTCACAATTTGTAATGACAATATGTATCCCAAAATTCAAAAATATAGATTCTGATGTCCAACAGACTTTTGTCTTATGAATATCTGAAGAATGTTATTTAGAATATTTATAATACTTTTTGATTTTCGAATTCAGAGTTTTAAAATAGTGGCCTTTTCATACCTTCTTTGTTTGTAGTGTAAAACTAGGAGCATACTAATATATTGTAATGCAAGTCAATGATGAGAATGTCTCATTGTAGGATGGTGTCTTACAATAATTGCTTATTTTACTTATCAGAAAATAGTTATTTATAGAGTATCCTATAATTTAAAAACCTTGTTGTATTTTAGCATAACATTTCAAATGATTTATTTACAGGTGAATTAAACTACAGTGAGAATATATTCCATAAGAGAGTACGCAGAGTCTATATACATGACCACAATGTTCCTTTATTAAGGTTTGTTATTCTACATGTTCACAGGAAAATGTGTATATATATATATATATATATATATATATATATAAACAAGTCTAAATTAAAAACAACGTTCAAACCTATGATTGCGTTGGATAAAAACTGCAATTTTTATACGTGTGCCTGTAACAAATTTCGTTGTAGAGGGGTCTAAATACAGCACAAACAACATTTTCCAAAAGACCAAAAGAGTGAAAAAATATATTTTAACAAAACGCATTTGACTAACAGGTCGAACAACTGATGTTCTTAAACCCTGCTGACTGCCATTGACGATTGCCAAATAAATTGATCACAAGGCATACCAAAATGGATCTCTATATTAATTTAATACCAAGTAGAAAACAATAAACTTGCGGCAAAGATGGTAAACCACAACATGAGGTGCTAAATTTTTTTTACACCATATCCGGATTTCGACAATTAATGTCTCTTCAGTGATGTATATATATAAATGTAGAACAAATCTCAATTTAGTAGGTTTTTACAATGCTTTCTTTTCTTGAATGATTTTGCTTATATAATGTAATGTATTGTAGCTGCAAAAGTTCATTTAGATACAAAGGAAACATTTATTATTGTATAAATATTTTGTCTTCACTTGATAAGAGGATGAAGTTTATGTCTAAAAAAATCTTCCCTAGATTTATTATTGTCCTGACATAATGCTGGTTAAAAGAAGGTGATGTTCACTTTTGTCAGGCATTTCTTTTAAATTGGGCTACAACAGAATATTGTTCTACATTCAACCAAATAGGAAAATACATTGACAGGGCTAGTTGAACCCTGAAATATTGGCTCGATGTGTCAATAAATAATTCTTGGTGTTCAATGTGTGAGACAGAGGTTTAAAGGTACCAAAGCTGCAGATCTTTTAAGCAGACTTAGTTCACAAATTTTATAGTAGGGAGATTAGGGCACTTTTGAACTTGACATATTATATGGAAACTTTTATTGAAGACAATAGTTTGACCTCTAGATGTCTTTTGTTTTCTTGGGTCATTGGTTTGTTGTCTGATTAATGTATAACATATTTCCATTTATTTATAATCCTGAATAACTTATGTAAATCTATTATAGTGACATGACAGAGTTTTGTAAAGATGTTAGAATGTGGTTAGCCGAAGATGAACAAAATGTGATAGCTGTCCATTGTAAAGGGGGCAAAGGTCGCACCGGAACAATGATCTGTACATACCTTATACATACTGAACTATTCCAGGCAGCTGAGGTGAGTAGTCACATGAACTTAGATATACTGATTCATGCAGGCGATGTGAGATGTTACAAGACCTAAGCTCACAGAAACCATATGTACATCAAAACTACTGTTTAACTTGTTTTAAGTTAATTGTTTCAGAAATATTGCAAACAAGAGTATAATAACTTTATTTACTTATTAGATTACTGAGTTGATTGGTTTACGTTTTCTATGTGGCTTTAGTATGTTAAAGAAAATTATTTTTGAATAAATGAGTACTCGAGAATTTTTTTAAGTAGACAGACATTCATGTTTCATAATCTGGAAGTAAAAATGAGAACAGTCATTCATAGCCATTTTTATGACAAAAATCACCTATATCAGTAATACTTTTTCAGCTTAACCCTATTTTCTCAACCTGATAACATTGGATTTCATTTGAGAAAACTTTTTATTGCATTATCTAATGTTACTGTTGGAAAAATTATTAAAAGCTTTTGAAAACCATTTGAAAAACACTTGATTCTTCTAAAAAATCAATATGAAATGTGATATTCTAATAAAGGAGCATAATATTAGCACATTCCTTTTTGTCAACATAAGTTTAAAATTTTTAACAACAATTTTATGGGGAAAGTTTATGAAACCTTCTGTGTAAGCAAATTTTTTCCCAATGTCTACAAATAAAAAATCATTTGTTTAAGTTGTTTCCCTGACTTTATATATATGAACATACTAATTAATTAAATATAATATAAATTTCTCCGGGGAAGTGATAATAAATGGTCATATTATCTTCTGTTGCTCATGAACCATGATTCTATTTTTATCTTATATATAAATTATAAATAATTTATCTTAACAGCCTTTCAGGCATCTTTACTCAATGAAAGAATAGGATTTTGGTGTTTTCAGTCCTTTGATGAAATAAGTAAATCAAATTAATGACTGTTTCAGATCAGGATATTACATACAGAAAAAAACCTTCTACATTATATTCAATTACAATTACCCAATTGTAACACAGCAAATATAAAAAAAGAAGATGTGGTATGATTGCCAATGAGACAACTCTTTACAAGAGACCAAATGACACAGAAATTAACAACCATAGGTCACCTTACGGCCTTCAACAATGAGCAAATCCCAAAGCCTAGAAAAGAAGATTGACAACATTTCTACAGACACCAACCTTAAAATTCTAAGTTTAAAACTGGTGTCATTATAAGGTTCAATTTCATTTATCTTGATACATGTAGTTGAATGAAAAATTACCACTGAGCCTTTGTGGAAAAGTGTTAATTTTTTATAAAATGATTTTTTTTTATTTTAATGGCTTTATTATTTGTATTCATAAATATACATGACTCTATGTTGTGTTTGTTTTTTTTATTTTAGGATAGCCTTAATTATTTTGGTGAGAGACGAACAGACAGAAAAGTTGGGAAGACATTCCAAGGTGTTGAAACTCCTAGTCAGGTAAATAGAAATTTATGAATAAAATTGAGATATGGGTTTATGTTAATGAGACAGTAACCCAATAAAACTAAAACAAAAGACAATAGTATCGTAAGTATTTTGTCATTGTGATTTACTATAAAATACTGTTGTGAGCTTTTCAAACCAGCCATTTCAAACCATACTTTTTCAAACTAAAAAGTTGTTCACCTTTCCAAACCATACATTTCCAACCTAGACAGTTGTTCACATTTCCAAACCATACATTTCCAAACTAAACAGTTGTTCACATTTCCAAACCAGACATTTCCAAAACTTAACAGTTGTTCACATTTCAAACCATACATTTCCAAACTAAACAGTTGTTAACATTTCAAACCATACATTTCCAAACTAAACAGTACTAGTTGTTCATCTTTACAAACCATGCATTTCCAACTAAACAGTACTAGTTGTTCACCTTTGCAAACCATACATTTCCAACCTAGACAGTTGTTCACCTTTCCAAACCAGACATTTCTAAAACTTAACAGTTGTTCACATTTCAAACCAGACATTTCTAAACTAAACAGTTGTTTACATTTCAAACAATACATTTCTAAACTAAACAGTACTAGTTGTTCATCTTTACAAACCATGCATTTCCAAACTAAACAGTTGTTAACATCTTTAAATCATATTGTTGTTAATATTTCTAAAACATGCAACTTTAGTTTTTAAATCCATACAACTGTTAACAAATCAGTACATGTACTAGGAACTTAACATTTTTAAACTTTTCAGTTAAAAACATTTGAAAACCAAGCAGCCCTTAATAATCCAAATACTGCATTGAGCCGTTTAATGATACCATACAGAAGGAAGGGCAGATAATACTGCATCCAAATCTAACTGTTTGTTTTTGCAACTTGCATTTGGCTAATGATAAGCTTCCAAATTCACGGAAAAATCGCTAATGACATTAATTTAAAAGTATTTGCAAAGGAAAATGAACATGATGTACATTTTAGATAGAAATATACTGCGGGGCTTGAAATTGAAGGCAAATGAAGACTTTATTACTTTTTATTATCAATAAATTTGTATATGACAGTAATTTGTTTAGTGTTTTGATGTACGACAGGAATAGCTGCATGAAGATGTTGTGTTAAGAAATAACGGCGACATGATTAATTACAAAAAATGGGAAATTGGATCTCCAGCATAGTTTTTCTATTTCGACCTAAAAAATCAGAAGGAAAAATCAACAATAGATCTTTTCTGTATCGATTGCCATTAAGGATGTAACAGATTTACATAATATAACTGATGTCCCTTATTTAATATCATTTCAGAGTAGATATGTGGGATACTATGAGAAAGTGAAGTATGATCTGAATGAGGAGATGCCTCCTCCTAAATATCTTAAAATAGAATCGGTTAAAATAACATCTATTAAAGGTTTGTTTTATAGACAGTAAAAATTGCAATTCTACCATGTGAGAAAGCTTCTGGCAAACAATATCAGTGGAGTTGTTTTTACAAGATGTCATTGTGTTGTAGTAGTAAAAATAGTTATCAATGTCCAATAACTCCTGTTGGAATCATCCAATCAAAATGAAGATACCTTATTATGAAGAGAATATGATGTCAAACAATCCTACTAATATGACCAAGTATGAACGCTTTTGCAAAAAAGGTCTAAGAATGTTAGGATGTTAGAAACAGACTGACAGACATAGACTAATAATATGTACCTCACAGCAAGAGCGGACATGACAACAGATTCACAAAAATATCAAAACTTAAAGCTTAGATCATAGAATTAAATTTGTGTGTTATAAAAAGTATGATATGCCATAAACTTTTCTATCATAAAAATCAAATTAATAAATAAAAAAGTTCATGATCTATATAGCCTTATATGGCACAGCCACAAGATATGATTGGTTTAATAGTGGTGGTCTTAATTAGAATTGACCAGAGCAAACATTTTTGAAAAGTTGAAAATAAAAAATCTTTAAACATGAAAGATATTTACCGGTATACAGAACACAAATATATTAAGCACATTATTATCTGAAGGAGAGAAGATTAACTTTAGTGTGTATAAAATTGACAATTCCAGGTGTAGGCAATGGTGATGGTTCAGATTTAGCTATGCAGATATTTTTAGGTTACTCTCCTGAGTATTCACAAATTGACTTCAAACAGCAGTCAGATTGCAAGGTACCTTATAATAGTTATTGATTATTAATATATCTATATTACTATTTATAATACATCTTTTGATCTGTATCAGAAAAATTAAATCATGCATGATGTTAAATTAAAATTAGTACAACTTACACTAGATAAATTATAATGGTTGTTGAGAAATGTCCTGACATCAGAAAGACTTATTTACAGGTCAATACTATTAGGACAGACATTTATGTAAACAATTTAGAATGAACTATTTGAATGATGGTTATTCCATGAACAGCGGCATACATTACATGCATTTTTGGGATGATTGATGTTCATGAATTATGGAGATACATTACTGTGTACAGACTGTCGATAAGATTACTCACAAGGTAACAGTCCACAGAAAGACATGTCATCACACTCAATTACAATATCCTGACTGGATTCAACCCACCCAGTCTTGATAGAATAGCAACAAACACAAATGTTGTCCCATAATTACCTCCATTGATCAAGGCAAGCATGCTACCATGAGACAACTAAGTTGTTCAGAATGATTTGAAACTATGCTGTGGATTTATTTATTTTTGTGGGATACTGATTTACATGTATTTTGTGGGTTTAGGTAAATTATGAATTTATAACAATGTTCAACAAAGTACAAATTTTCTATAGGCTTGTATGCAGACTTTGGCAAAACCTTTAAAATCGAATATTCATGAAAATACAATTTTTCATCAATCCACAAAATTTGATATCCATGAAAAATAAATAATCTCAAGTAGCTGAAAAGTAAATGACAATTACTGAAGAAATATTTTATTACCTCTTATATCTTATGTCCAATACAGAAGGTTGTAAGTTTAGTCCTAATTATTCTAACGCAACACTGTTTGTTACATTTAGTTTGATTGAATAACAGCAAAAGTCATCACATTTCCACAATTGATCGTCTGAAATTGTGTACACATGTGCAGACATTGAGTGACTGTTTTTAAATGTATGATTTAGCTGTCTTTTCTTTTAGCTGCTTTAGAATGGAGATAACAGTATTTTATTTGAAGATTTAAGGGCATTAATTTTTGTTAGTTGTTTGCAAATATCCAAATACAGGCTCGCTAATGCCTCTTTAGTAAACTCAATTTATAATGTATCAAATTGCCAATCGATGCCCACTTATCATAAAATAAAATACTGTTATCTTCTTAACCTAAAGATTTCTAGACTTTCTATATTAAAGAATTTAGGCAAAGACTAGTTTGATTCAGCACTGTTTCTTTATAGGGCAACCTTTCTTTTTGTGAGTTGGAACTACATGACCTTGTTTATGTACCTTGTGATCTAGCATGTTAACAATGTTGTTGTTGTGTCAGTCTAGCATAAAAAGTAGGGTATATTCAAATGACAATTGCATGTTTTGTTCTTGAGATGTTTTGTAATATTTGCTGCTGGATGATAAATTTAAATCAATCACTAAATCAATCAAAGGTCTATGGAAATGGGAATCCTTGACTTCACAATCTTTCCCCTTGGAGATGAATTATAGTTTTTTAGTAGCTAGACCATACATGGCACAACCATACAGTGTTTGAGCAGCCTTTCCAAATTACACAATGATAAATTCAGAATGAAAGAATATTTAATCTTTTAAATAATGCATGTTTTGTTCTTTTTACTTATTTCAAGAAAATATATTTTTGATGTTCAGATTTAGTCATTATTATACAATTATTGATCCTAGGTTGAGCACAATAAAGAAGAAGATTATATATTGGTGACATTCAATGACAAACCAGTGGTCACAAATGACGTCAAGATCAGATTTGTATCGAAAGCTGTAAGTAAATATAATTGTACTAGATGAATGGTAACAGTTACAGTAAACCTGTCTAGTGGTCTCAAAAGATGTCAAGAACCTTTTGTATCAAAAATATTAAGGATACAGTTTATTTTCTATAGGACACCATGCTGGACTTGCACTACACTGTATACTACTTCCTTGTTTAATGAAACAGGAAATCTGGGACAAAAAACTAATTTGGCATATGATTTCAAAAGTTCACATTATAATAAACTTGTACTAAGTTTCAAGTTAATTTGACGACAACTTCATAGCAAACTTCTTTAAACTAAAACTTTAACCTGATGCAGGACACACACATAAGACATGTAAGACTTGTATAAGAAGGTGTATAGAAAAATCATGTTATTAGGAGAAACAGTCATCGAAACAATTGCTATTGATAAGCTTTGATTATTGTTTATTTTGTACAACAATTTTGAGTCTTTTCTACACAATTTAATATTGATACTGCTTCCTGCAACACTTTCCTGCACAATTGCCACAAAAATAGAGATTTTTCGTCCAGTTTTCATTGTAGATTTTAGCCCTGAGTGTAAGTCCATGAAACAAGGATTGCTACATGCATATTGTTAGATAATAGGTAGAGGCTTGATTATGAAAAGTCAAGAGGATAAAAAAAAACTTATATCTGCTGACCCTTAAATTTTCAGTAAGGATACCCTGACACACTCATTTTATGTCTAATTGTTAAAAGCAACATTAGAATATAAAACTTCTGAAGTGATTTCGAATAAAATGGATACTTTATATCTTGCCTTGATGGAGTCAAAAAGTGAGACTTAAGTATGCTGTTTCGGACGGCGGAGGTGTCAACAATATATTAGTTTTTGATTAGGTCAGTTTATGGGGAACCACTAGTGGTAGGTCAATGATATTTGGTATGCAGTTGTATTAGCATTGGAACATTTTCATGGAGATTATTTGGCCCTCCATCCCTTCAGTCATGTTCTATTGACTTTGAAACTTTTAATTACTTTACATGTATTAGTTTGTGATTAGGTCAGTTTATGGGGAACCACTAGTGGTAGGTCAATGATATTCAGTATGCAGTTGTATTGGCATTTGCAAGTCTTTTTCCCTTGGAGATTATATTGGCCTATCCCCTCATCATGGTTCAATGACTTTGAAACTTTTACATTGTTTACAAGTTAAAGTTTGTGTTTTGGTTATTGTAAAGGGCACCACTTATGATAAGTCAATTGTATTTTATAAGCATTGGCTATGGCTTTTCTTATTTCCATGGAGGTTATTTGCTCCTGCACATTAATTCATGGTTCATTGACTTTGAATGTTTTGCATAGTTTACATGTTTAAATATTTGCATTATACTACCAAAATTACAAAAAGGCCAGCGACTCTTTTCACAAAAAATCTTACGATTAAAATTGATCGTAAGTTATACTAAATGTGTATGACTTACGAGCATTTTTACTCTTAAGATTTTTTGTGAAAAGAGTCGCAGACATTTTATCATTAGTTTTTTATTAAATGAACTAATTGGTTAGTGGTTCTTCTTTCCTCAAAAATTCCAGTGATGCTGCATTGTTTTAAAATAGAATTGTAATGTAAAGACGGTATAAATGTTCAAATGTTAGTGATTTAACTTATATCTGAGACACCAAGAATTCTCTATCTGTATCATTGTTTCTATTGATTGACATGTGTTACTTTACTTTACAGAGAAATATACCAAAGGTTTATGATAACTGTGCATTTTATTTCTGGTTCTACACTGCATTTATTGAAGACAACAGGTAATAAATACTGTCTTTTTGAATTGATTACATAATCCTTGCTTTCACATTATAATTCAACCAGATATCATTTAAAATGTTCCAAATATAAGAAATTCCAAATCCATCAAAATTTGCTTGACAAATCTCAACCATTTAAAATCAATGTTTTTGGTACAATAATCTATATATGATAGATGAATACTTTGGCTGTTTTCCCATGATTAGTTTAGACCAGTAGGATATCATTTTTAATTTTACATCAATATAAACTGGATATGTCCTATCTCACCATATATCATACAGTTGGGAGTGGATGATTTCAGATTCAGGTGCAACTTACAAAATTTTAGATGAACCTTTTCAATGATATATCATAGTTACTGAATCCCCATATTTCTGATCCATATAACAGAACAGGTGTGACTATTCTATCAAAAAGATCTTTAAAATAGCTTTGAAATTTTTCCCCTTTTAAATAAATCATACATTTTGTCCCTTTTTCAACCTGTGATTTAAGTGCCTTTTTATAATTTCCTGTTTTGTCAATAAAATACCATTTTAGCTAAACTCTTAAATGATTTCTATTTCTTCATTATCAAAAGTGAAGTGTAAATTATCTGGTAATCTTCCTAATGAATAACATAATGTTTTTGTTTTCGATACATTTAACTTTTAATTGCCATTTTTTACAGTATTCATGAAAAATATCAAACTTACTGTCTTTGAAGATCTTGTGGTATTTCAGACATTAAAACAGTATCATCTGCTAAAATAATAGTAAAAAGATATTTAGAAAGACATTAAGTGCAAGTTCTATTTCTTCTGTAACTGTTAAAAGGTTTCTTTATAGTCATTGCCTGTATTTACACTTTCAGAGTTTGACAGGTATATGATAATTAGTCATCTTATAAAACTTTGTAGTGCTGAATCTGGTTTTCTGCATTATTATTATTAGAAATATGTAATTTTCTTAATGACTTTTTCTCATATTTGTATTTATTGTAGATTATTCCTAACCAGGGATGAGATAGATAACCCTCACAAGAAGAAGGCACAGAAAGTGTTCCGAGAGACATTTAGTATTGAGATGTTGTTTAGTGATGCTGATGGTTCATAGCCTAACTGATCAAAGTGGTATGATTGGGAACGACAGTGTCCTGGTGCTTACAGATCAAGTTTTTTAGATTTATATATAATAGAATTATGTAATCTTATGAAAAACATGATTAAAATTTAATTGAAATCATTTCATTTATATTTTATTTGATAGATTATTACTTACATTTTTTAGACATAGGTTGATCACATGGATTTTTATTGCTTATTGCTTCATAACACAATTTTACTGAAATTTTAAACGCAAACTGTTTTGATGCCAAAAATGTACTAAATATTTTACTGCTTACAATATATTTTCAATCTTATGCATTGTTACAATGAGATGATGATTTCTTATGCTCTGATATGTACAAAAGGTACAAGTAATCCAACAAAATATCTTTTATATCAGGATCATTTTTCATTAATGAATGGTGTTGATATATCTTTCTTTATTATGAAAGTTAAATAAATAAATAAAACAATGAGGCAGACTTACCATTTTTCCACCCCTGTCATTGAAAGAGTGTGTGAATTGTATTTATATTCCAAATATATAGCACCAACGTTAAACTTAAAAGAAAAAAAATGGTTTGGTTCCAAATGACTCATGAAGTTTGTTCAACAAAATGTTATTGGATGTAAGGCATAATTAAGTTGTATAGAACTTATAAAACAGCAGAATTGATACTAATAAATTAGTGTCTGATTGGGAATAAGTTGTTTAAAGGTTGGTGATAAATGTATCTTAAAAATGTATGGAATAAGTGATATGAGAAAGTACCACATTCAGACATAGTTACTACACATTCCCACCTATGCAATAATTAAAGGGCATTTTGTATGAATTTTGTATAAACAATTTTTTATAGTCTGGACAAATACTTTAGATATAATGTATATTTTAATATTATCAGTTGCTCAGTAGCTAGAAATATTATTCTCGTATTATTTTTGTAATTGCTTCTTATTGGTTGTATTTTAAAGAAAAAAATAATTAAATGGCTTTGAAAGAACTTTAATGATTAACTTAGTTCAAAGACATTGTTTGTTGCCAAATGTGATTATGAATATACTTGTATTAATTTTTGGCTGATAAGCTTAGTTTTAAGAAAATTTAGTTTCCTGTTTTCTATCGTGCTATATATAGAATAACCATACATTGTCTCGAATTATAAATTTTATTTGTACAAGGCTTAGAAACAGGTAGAAAGCGAGGCTTTGCCAAGCATTTCTATCCTGTTGTGAGCAGAGTACAAATACAATTTATATTTCTAGACAATGCTTTATATACTGCAACTCCTACAACTGTTCCAAATGAAATATTTATGGTAAAAAACATCATTTTTGAATTTGGAGCGAACGATGTAAAAATTCTGCGAACCTGTACTTCTAATGACGTCATAAATAATAATTCTACGGAAACGCATTGTCAACGTCATAAACAATGCGATATGCGGTCAGTGACTGTATAACACAAATGATTATACGGTCAATGCAATTTGACTGCAAATAACACAGCTGCAGTATACAGTTGGCTATTGAGATGTGTACAGTACACTTGTCAACATCAAACCAATTAAAAACTTTAGAAGACAAGAAAATATTTTAACCCTTTTAACATTATTTTATTTTCATATTCTTCAAGAAAAAATAATTTGTTATGACTATTGGTGTGTTTGTGATGGGGATGGGGGTAGGTTGAGGATATTGATACAATGTAGATTTACTCTGAAAAGTTGAGGATATTTATACAATGTAGACTTACTCTGAAAAGTTGAGGATATTTATACAATGTAGATTTACTCTGAAAAGTTGAGGATATTTATACAATGTAGACTTACTCTGAAAAGTTGAGGATATTTATACAATGTAGATTTACTCTGAAAAGTTGAGGATATTTATACAATGTAGACTTACTCTGAAAAGTTGAGGATATTTATACAATGTAGATTTACTCTGAAAAGTTGAGGATATTTATACAATGTAGATTTACTCTGAAAAGTTGAGGATATTTATACAATGTAGACTTACTCTGAAAAGTTGAGGATATTTATACAATGTAGACTTACTCTGAAAAGTTGAGGATATTTATACAATGTAGACTTACTCTGAAAAGTTGAGGATATTTATACAATGTAGATTTACTCTGAAAAGTTGAGGATATTTATACAATGTAGATTTACTCTGAAAAGTTGAGAATAAGATGGGGTTTTGATCACCTTCCCTTTTCAACCAAAAAATGGAAAAATCATTTTTGAAACAAAACATATACATATACCATGTATTGGGTTTTAAATTTCCAACATTGCTTATTTCAAACCAATCTACACCTTTCCTCTATGTGTTTTCTCCATTTCTCTGCAAATTGTATGTAAAGTGTTCATTTGATTTAGTAATTTCTCTAATTTACATATTGGTCAAGACAATAGTTATAATACCCATACAAAGAAGTTATATAATGTTATTGGCCTAACTGTAAGTCTGTTTTTCCGTCAGTTTGTCTGTCTGTTCGTCCGTCAGTTTGTCTGTCTGTTCTTCTGTCAGTTTGTCTGTCTGTTCGTCCATAATGACTTTGTTAACCCATTTTATTTTGTCTTTGCTGCATTACAGATATTGAAAGATTTAGTTATGGACCTAGGCTGAACATTCAAAACTTTTTTAACGATTTTATTTTGAACTTGGATGTGGGTATGTACTAGAAATTGTCTGTCTATCCCCTGGTTTTGTTTGACCCATATTGCTCAATAGTTTACTGTGTAATGTTAAGTGGCATGTTGTATGTGCTTGTCTATTTTAGCCGTTGTGTTGTCTTTCTTCCATTAATTATTGTTTATTGAAAGTTCACCTGGTGCTCTAGGTTAGTCCTATAATAAAATTAACTTACCTTCCCTCTCCCCTTGAAACACAAATAAACAACAATTTTTACCTGAAACATATGCAATATACCTTTAATCATTGTTTTTTTTTTTCAACATATAAATGTTTTGTATAGAACAAGGTTGTAAAATAGGTTGTATGATATAACTTTTATAATTTTTCTAGTCAGGAAAAGTGCCTTGTTGTTTGTTAATATTTTTACTAGTTTATAAATATTGTATACTGATGTATAATGTATTTTTATATGTATCACACAACAAAAAGAATAGACGAAATAGGAACAGAACAAAAAAGTTTTTTTTTTTTTTACATATACAGACAAATATACACTTCAGTCATTCGGCATGAAGTTCTTATGCAATCTTGAATGATGACATATCATGTATTGCCTAACCTGACACAACGTCCATATGTTGCTACGCATTGAACAACGTGGGCGTGGCAAAGCTTCTCAAACTCCAAATATTCGGCAATGACGTTTAACGGATTTCGTCCTAGTAAAATTTGATAAACATCCTCATCATCATATTCACTTAGTTCGCAATACAGTTGTAGTGAAAAATTCTCAATAATCATATTCCACCACAATTCACGCAGCTCTGTAGTACAAATGCAGGAACAACATGCATGTACATAGACATCATCAAAGTAGTTTTTGCATGTGACGACGCACTTATTTCCTGATGAATTTGGTATATCGGTTAACAGTTTTGTAATAAAAAAGGAATTTCGTATTTCTGCAAATGATTGTGCTTTTTTCCAGAAGTTGGTCATAGAAACTGTCTTAAATGTTTTGTATAGAACAAGGTTGTATAATATAACTTTTATAATTTTTCTAGTCAGGAAAAGTGCCTTGTTGTTTGTTAATATTTTTACTAGTTTATAAATATTGTATACTGATGTATAATGTATTTTTATATGTTATAAAGATGTCTTTTATTCTGGAAATATTTTGCTACTCTTTTAATAAGTAATCTCTCTCTTTACCGTAGAAAGGCTTGTATAGTCCGCGGTTTTATTTTCCAAAATTGGACCTTCCAGATGGGGTGCGGACTATAGAGTACAATAAGCAAGAAATAAGAGAAAAATTTCAATTTCGCGGGCGAGGTGGTTTGTTTACGTTCCGCCATCTTTGTTATTTATATTGTAGAGGGCGCTCTTATCATTTTTCAAACTAATAATTTTAACTCATCCATATTAATAAGTTATTTCTATTCAATATCAAATAGATAAATATAAAAACTAAACCTTTCATTACAAATTTCTCGTTTCTTTTCAATGCATTGGTTATAGTAAACTGGTATCTGCTTGATTGAAACGATACAAACATAGTGAAAAAGACAACCGTAAACCAGCTTAGAATTTGTAAACTACAAAACGTAATCGGTTATTGTTCGTTCCGTTTTGGTGTTTCATACTGACTAATATGGTTTGTATTAGCTTAAGACCCTTCAAACATTAATGTGATAGATATATTAAAGACTGTTTTACAAAAGGATGGAACTGTTTTACTTTCAAAGTCGTATTATAGTGATATCTGTTATGTACGGATTTCGACTCTCACCTGTTAGTTTCTTCTTTTACACGTGCTTTTTAAACTTCCTGTTTAAACATACACAAGTTTCTAAATTGTTTTTTAAGTGAATTAAACTTAATTTAACAATCATGAAGCGTTCTAGAATCATTTACAAGCAGTGTCGGCTTCTGTTTGAAGATGGAAAACAGGTTTTCTAAGAAAATACCACAAACGACCGCACAGGATTTGAAATTACCGGAGTTTCATTAGACCTTTTCTAACAGTTACAAAAAGTTTTTTTACCTAAAATTTCGTGGGGAGAAGGGGGTGCGGACTATGTACCAGTGCGAACTATACAAGCCTTTCTATGGTATATATAAAAAACTCCACAATTGAATATAATAAAATCAATTTATTATTTGGCTGCAAGTTTTGGTGAATTTTGTGATAAAACAAAATAACTATTTCGATATAAAAAAAAATACTTCTTTTATGTTGATAACTTGTTTAATATCAAACCGCAAATTAAAAACAACACTGATTTTTCTACAAACCATGAAAAGGTGGAAATTGAAGTTATGAATAAAAGTGTTGCACAGAATCACTGAAAGTAAAAGTACTCCATATTTTTAGTGAACAGCATATACATTATTGGTTTGTATATTTGGAAAAACAAACCCAGTTTTATTTTGGTCCTATCTGTAATATCTATCAAAACAAACCAGTCTTTTTTTAATATAAACTTGTTTATCAGAGAATTAACCAGAACGTGGCATGTTAATGATATGTTTTCCATTCCATTGTCAAAGAATATATAATTTCAAATTGAAACTGAATGATTAATTCAAATAACTGTCATCAAATACTAAATACTGTATTTTGAAAATTTTGGCAAGAAAAACTTAAGCCTCGAACCAACACAGCACAAATTTCACGGTACCCAGTAAAAATATTAAAAGAGTTAATCTGCACTTTTTAAGACAGTTTTTGTTTGAAATACTTATTATTTACAAGACATTTTTACCATAGTTTTTTTCTATATTGCTCTAGTGTCCAGATTAAACTTATAATTATAATAATAATATTGTTTTGGATGAACTTTTCAATAGGTTCTTCTGTATATACAGGAATTTTGGTTTTAGATTCAGATGATATTTTATGTTGCAGTTAACTGTAAATTTTAGTCATGATCTTGACCTTAATTTCATGCTCCAGTGGATATGTAGATTTTTTTAGGATTAGTTCATTTCCACAGTTGCTATGTGTGACAGGTCAACAATATTTTTTTTGTATGTGATACTGACATTCTATATGACATAAAGGTGATATTTTGACCTGTATGTAAAACCTTTTCTCTAATTCTTAACCGATTTATCCTTTTTCTGACCTGTTGATTATTTTTATTTAATCAACGTGTGGTTTGATTGATATCAGTTTTTCATTTGTCAAAATTCAATTATGACATCAACTCGTCTTGCTTTCCTCTGAATTTCTAATTGTGACATCACGAAAAAAGGTGACCATACCTGGTGATGTAACATAGAAAGAACACATCTTTTTGCAGATCATTGGAAAAGAAGGATTAAGTTTGTCTGCATATCGCCTAAAAATCATTAGAGAAACAGATTCTACCATCAAATCTCATGCAATACGATATATCTCCACTCTCGACAGTTAAATTTTAAATATTTAAAATGCTCGGCAAGCCTTGTGTTTTGAATTTGAAAATTTAACTGTTTCTAGTGGATAAATGTCGTATCACACTCGATGCAGTGGTAGAATCTATATTTAACATTCACAATGTTTTTACAATATTTATACTGTTTCCAGTTATTTTTATGAATAAGCAAAACAATTTAGTGTGTTAACCTTGTCACATTCTTGCTTTATAAATCGTTTCTACCGGTATATTTATTTGTCTCTGTTCGTGTTTTGGATTGTTTAGTTGTGATGATAATTAATTCTGATGAAATTCAGAGATTCATAATTGAAAATTGTCATTGTCTATAAATAATGCTCAATAAATATTTATATGTGATAAAATGACATAAAAGGGTACATTTTATTTTTTCTTTAATGTAATTGTAAAAAGGTCTGAAAATAATAAAAGATATTATTTTAAGGAACAACGATTTGTACGATGTGAAGACTTATAAATTTGCATCTTTATTCTTATTTTAAATAATGCTCAGTCACTTAGGGTATGTTTAAAGAATGTTTATCAGATGAACCCTGACCTACTTGTAAGATTGCTGCCCCAAGTATTGATTTTATATAATGATTTAACAATTTTTGCCAGTGCTGGATTTTGAAAATTTTATCTACATTCAATTTTCAATGCATTATTTCTTTGTATAAAAATATATTATGTTCAAGGTTCTCAAATTTTATGATCATATCTTATATATTCATTCCACTGGTTGTTGAATGTGGTTTTGTAATTTATATGTAGTGACTTCATTATATTTAATAACATATATTGATGATATAACCTGTTATAACCTTGTTATATTCATAAAAACATTGCATGGAGATTCGTTATTCTCAACACTGGCCATAGGTACCAGGCGAGTGATACCTGTGCTTTTGAACCTCTAGTTACAAAATGTTTTAATTATTATTAAAGTCTACCTCAATCACAGTGATTCTGGAATGGTTGTGATATTTTATTTTTTTAAGTGAAGGTTTGTTTTAGTGTACAAATTTTATGTAATTTTCTTACCTATTTTAGTTTTATTATTATATTTATAAATATATTCCTGACTTTTAATACGATATAAATAACCAAAGTCTGCTTGATGTCTTTTTTCTTATTGGGTCCAACAGATAATAGGATTTTGGGATTGTATCAGTAGTATTGGAGACATGTTTATAATTTGAAACACACAATAAAATATACTTTTGAATGGGGAATTCTACAGCTTGCTAAGCAGTATGGATTTTGCTCATTGTTGAAGGCCATACTTGTTGTATAAAACCACTAATTCAGGCTTGGTCACAAAGAACATACCAGAAAGTAGTACATATTTCAAGCAAAATAGTTCCTATGCATAGCTGCAACTTTGTCAAATAGTAAAACATTTGGGTAATTTTGGCATTAAATGAAAGCTTAAGGACTTGTGATCACTGTAGAACCCTTGTCAAAAGTTTCTCATGAATAATAAGATAAATATATGAAATTTTGTTAGGAGGGCATATTTGCCCTGTTGCTCAGATCAGAAGTACCTGTTTTTTTTACTACACAGTTTCCGGGAACCAGTACACTTTAAAATGTGATGAAAGGAATGTTGAATTTTTCAGCACAAGACAGGATAAGGTATAGTTTTGCTATGAAATTACTGCCACTTTATAAATGCTTGAAATTGCATAATATAACATAGAAAGCAATGGGGCCTTGGATTAGTGGTTTTATTCCTTATAATTGTCATTTGGTCTCTGGTGGATAGTTTTCTGATTGGCAATCATACCATATCTTCTTATTTGTATATTCAAACTAATTTTTATACATCCTCAAAAAGTTTGCGTTCGTAGATTGCTATCATGTTGTCGGAGGCAACGGCAGAGTCCGAAGACACATTTGGTTTCCAGACAATAACTTTAGTTTAAGTGAATGGATCTCTATGAAATTTTACCAGAAGGTTCAATACCACAAAAGGAAGGTGGGGATTGATTTTGGGGGTTATGGTACCAACAGTATAGGACAAAGGGGCTAAAAACAAGCATTTTTTGTAGTTTCCAGACAATAACTTGTGTGTAAGTGTATGGATCTCTCTGAAATTGTACCAAAAGGTTCCGGGAAGGCTTGGATTGAGTTTGGGGTTAATTGCCCCAAACGTTCAGGAATTAGGGGCAAAAAAGGGGCCAAAAACAAGCAATTTTCTAGTTTCCAGACAATAACTTGTGTTCTCTATGAAATTGTACTACAAGGTTCCATACCACAAAGGGAAGGCTGGGATTGGGTTTGGGGGTAATTGCCCCTAATGTTTAGAAATAAGGGGGGAAAAAAGGGCCAAAAACAAGAATTTTTCTAGTTTCCAGACAATAACTTGTGTTTAAGTTTTTGGAACTCTCTGAAATTGTACATGTTTCCTGAATTTCAAAACAAAACAACAACCGTCGTCACCGCCGAAATCTGAAGAATAAACAGCCTAACAAAGACTTGGTCAAGATAGTGGCCTGATATAGTACTGGTGCAAAATGTGGTGAAGTCTATCCATTCAAAGAGGTAGGGTCAATTTTCTCTTAGATTTATTTCAGACCAGAGCCTTCAACCATAAGTCTTCCAAACTTAACTTAAATTTACAATGACAGCTGCCAGAAGTTCATAACTAGAAGTATGCAAGCTTTGATATAGGTTAAGGCCTATGTTTTTTCATCAGTTGGGGATCTGTATTGCTTTGAAAGTTGAATATTGAATCATGGGTAGAACTATAACATCTTTTCAATAAATAAGTGTGAAACTTTCGAATAAATTATATCCAATCTGTTTTGCAGATTAACATTCTACACGGAAAAATATTATCACTATTATTTTTTAATACACAATAAATATTCTTTATGATCTTCAAGTTGACATTGACATGCCAAGAATTTATACTATTAAAATGTTCGTCCACGCTTATTAATCATGCGGTAAAATTCATGTAACAGCTCTAGAATTTTGTTCTTCTAATTATAGAACGTTTCCACTGAACACTGAAGAGGATATTGTGATCACCCAAACTCTCTAGAATGTTGCATACTTTTATAGTAATGGACTTCTTCAGTTGCATATATGTGTAATTTGAGGCTCTGACAACATTTGGGTTATTAATGAACATGATATGAAATTTTAAAGGCATAATGAGCGATGATTTAAAACTGCATTTGTTCAAGGATTTGTTGTAGATTTTGGCAAATTCTTTGTAATTATCACGAAAAGGAATTCGTACATGGGACATTCTTAACCAAAATCGACATTTTATAGGGAGTTATCTTTTTCTTTGTGTTTTAGATACACGACAATTCACAAGTGGATGTAGCCTTGGGTCCTAGCTCAGCGGCTAAACTGCATGAGTGGATGTCCTTCAATGCAGCATTTCCACAAAACCATGTAAAAACTTCCGATTTTGTTTGAAAAGATGCCTTCAACATTGAACAACAATGTATTGCGCTGAATGACAATTTTATTTTTTGCAAATTAGTGAAACTATTATAAAATCTGAACTGTGTTTTATTTAGACGTCTATATTAAAATTTCAGTTAGCATTAACAACATTTAGATTTTAATCATACTTGGGAAAGAAATTTCGTGAAAAATTGGCCCTACTGGCTCAGTTATGAGGGGGCGGACAGGGTAAAGGGAGACAGGGAGAGAGGGGCGGGAGAAAGGAGGGAAGGGGCAGGAGAAAGGAGAAAAGAGAGACAAAAATGTCTTTAAAAATAATAACAGTGAGCTGGAAAACGTTATTAAATTAGTTTATAAAAAGCTCCAAGACAGTGCTAATAAATGTCATAGTAATGAAAACGACCTCATAAATAGTCGAAAATGTGACGACAATCATCCAAAGATATTGAATGAACCAGTAGATATATGTGTATCAGACGATTCATCTGTACTGTACGTAGCTGATAAAAAAGGAATCGTCTATTCTATTCGACTGCATTATCCTGCAGAGGTCAAACTCGTAGTTAAGGGTCTCTGTACACCAGTTTCGGTCTTGGATTTGCACGGAGTTCTTCTAGTTTGTGAAAGTGGAAAACACAGAATCGTATACAAAGATCATAAAAAGGTTCTTAAAATCTACGTATCAAAATCAACAAAACAAACTCTATACCTTGACCTATAATGGTTTACTTTTATAAATTGTTACTTGGATGAAGAGTTGTCTCATTGGCACTGATACCACATCTTCCTATATCTATCTTGTGTGAATTATCAACTCAGTAGTCAATACTTCGGTACTGATGTGATTTATAACAAACCTTTCTACAACTGTCAGTTGATAAATTTTGAAATTTTAAGAAACTAAGGTTTCAACTCCTTAAAGCAAAGTTGACCTTAGATAAATTTGACTATTTTTTAGGTCCTTTTTGGTCATATAGCTGTTCAACTGTTTAGGTTATTATACATTCTTGGCTTTCAAATATTCGGCTTTGAGCGTTCCTGATGAAGGTAAATCCAGAAAAGCGCTTCGGACGCATGAAATTTATAACTTCATTTTCTGTGCATTGTGAAATACTGGGGAGTGGTCATAGTGACGACATCAAACGATCTATCTCTGAACTTAAAGATATTGAAAAGTATTTAGAACAATGTTCAGCAGAAGCCAAATACTTGCTTAGTCTTAGAATAAATTGCTTACAAGGGCCCCATGGAATGCCAGCCAGTAAAACAATCAAATCAATTCAGATGCTACGAGAAATGTTGCAGTCCCTATTGGAATAACTGTCTGGTATCGATTCGGATTACTTGAGAAGAGTTGATCTTAATTCAGTGCTTGCTTTGGTAAATGAGCAATTACATAGCATGTTGAGACTACAGACAGAGACTTCGTCAGTTCTTAACTGCGCTAGGGATTTCGTAAGAGGTATCATTGAATGTATTAAGAAAGCTTCACTCTGTGGTTTCCACTATTTTACGTCAAAGAAAAAATCTGGATATGAGGTACCAAAGCAATATTCATCTATTGAATACTTTCCACAGTTTAAACGTGAAAAACCTCCTGCTTTTACAACCGAAAACATGAACATTATGTTAGAGTGCAGAGTGAAATATTTGAAAGGCGTTCGACAGCGTAGTTTTCGGTCAGACACAACAAAATTCAATGCTGGGACTCTCCCAATGAACATGTATCAAAACAACATTCCACCAAAATTTTCTCCAATCGAGTTGCTTGTTTCTGATGTTCATAAAAAATTCCAAACTAGAAAGGAAGAACCTACGAGACCAACAAACCAAGAACGACAGTCGGATGATGACCAGGTTGGAGACGTTGTTTATGAAGAAAATGATGTGTAGGCCTTCATGATGGATGCTCAGTTGTGTATATAGAAAAGCCACAGCTCGTGTCTTTGACACGTCAACATTTTGCAAAGTTAGGTTGTAGAAAAAAGAAAGCGGGCTTGATTTTCACAAAGACACAGTGAGAGACATACCAGTTGACACCGTTTTTAAGTTATTGCACCACCTTTGTTTTTTCTTGATGTTTACACTTAAGACATTTACCAAAGACTTACAAATTCAATGCAAACATACAGCTTAACAGTAAGTGAAAAAGTTATTGAGGTTCTTGAAGCAGAAGAAACAATACTTCTATCTTGTGAAAAGACAAGAGGGGGACGAGCAATAAAAAAACCAAGACATTTGATCGATTTCTTTTAAAATATGCTTCCTTTACATTAGTTTTTCATGTTTGAGGGCGGGAGACAAGAGAAAGAGGGCGGGAGAAAGGTTCCCCCTGTCCGCCCCCTCTGTTATAATGAATTGTGAATTTGTAGTTAAGTAAAAAATAGACAGCTATGTGTCGAGCTATAATAGGGTGACAAGGATTACCAGTTATCCTGCCGAGGCTCGGTGGTTTTCTCTGTGTACTACTGTTTCGTCCACCAATACACACTAGCCGCCGTGATAAAGAGTTAAGGTAGTGTTAAACACAAACAATCAATCAATTTAGATTAGAAAGATAACTTTTTAAATTTTCTGGGATGGAATATTCGTGATCTGCTTATGTTTTGATTTCAATGAAAATATTTTATCTAAGCCCTTCTTATATAAAATATAATAACATCAATAAAATTGAA